TTCATTTGAAGAAAGCCAATGGTACCAGTAGCTTTTACTGTTTCTTTAAACGAGATCACGAAGACTCGACTTTATCGCTTTTCGAACCATTAATCATTTCTTCAAGGCATAATCCTAATAGATCTTGCGTTATCGGGTCAGATGGGCGTATTCCTAATGCCTAATTTAAAAATGTAGGTTTCAGTTAAACGGTTGTTATGGAAAGACAGATATTTATAAAGTAACATATAACAACCTCATGGTAATACATAATTGCCTCTTCAAAATCCTCCTTCACATGATAAATATATCCAAGAGCAGTCAACGCGCTTTGGTTGGGTGGCGACATTGATATTACTTTCTTAAAATATGTCTCGGCGGCGTCCAATTCTCTAAAAAAGATACAAATTATTAAAGTCCTAAATATACTGCTCTGTATTTAGTAATGTTTTCTTGGAATATTACCCTAGCATCCTGAATGCGTGACCAAGATTCATCCATGTGGTTTCCCAAATCTGTGGCCGGCATTTTGTCTCTTCAACAAGCGCAAGCGCCTTTTTAAAGTACTCGACTGACTGAGCATAGCTGAAAATAGTAAACATCTATTAACCATGATCGTGATGAAATGGTAATAAGAATGTTTATGGTTACTTGCTTACTTGAGCTTTCTAAAACATAACACTCCCAGCTCATTCAAAATTAACGGATCCCCTTTACAGATATTATAACTCGTTAGCAAATACTCTTCTGAAGATAAAAGGTTATTGGCTTGAAGATGTTGCATGCCAATAAAGAGGGGAGGAAGATGTGACCTATTTATATTTAAGAATTGAAATGTTAGAAAACTAACTTTTTTAATGAAAATGATCTCAATAATTTCTACAGTACCCAGGGAATAATTTTGCTGCGGTGGAGTAAGCGGTGATGGCCTGATCATGTTCAGATTCTGCCGCAAATGTATGTCCAAATCCTATCCATGCTGGTCCATAATGAGAGTCCATAGTAGAAGCCTTGCTAAATTATAAACGCGATTACGAGAATTTATAAATTTTCAAAACACTCCACCAAAACGTTTCATTATTATGCGTCCTCTTAAGCGATCAACCTACATAAAATATCTTCTGGCCTCATCATTTTGGCCAATCAAATAATTATAACATCCAATACCAAACCACGTGACTGGCCTTTCTGGAGAGACTTCAACCAAATCATGAACTAACAAAAACAGTTTATTTTTCTCACGCAATTCGTGGAGACAAACTAAGTGAGTTGGAAGGCAATCTTGGTTATGCATATCCTGCTCAAGTATTCTTTAGATGTGAATGCGTTAAACAACGTTGGCTAAATGTAAATCAAAGAACAATGATAGTAATATGTAAAGTACGTACTTTGTCGTGATCTCGTAACATTCTTTAAATCGACATTGTGCGTATAACTCATCCGCATGGCTCATTAGTACATCTGCGTTGCTTTCCAATCTAAACCTCTCCTCCAATTCCGACCTCGCCTCTTGAATCTCTGGTAAGTGCTCGTACTAATGAAACGTTCACAACAGAATCAGCGAGTGTTTCAATTTAGAAATTATTCAATCAGCTTGGTAAAAACACAACAAACCTTTTTTAGCATTGAAAGGTAATTCATTTTGATAAAATACGCCTCTTCACTTTCCAACTGTTCCTCAAACTTCAACGAATTAATGAACTCCCACTCTGAAAGTGTGATAAGAATAAAATATATATCACGGATACATTATTCATTCTTAAATCAAGTTTTATAGTGCGCATATCACTTTTCATGTTTGTACATATCAGCAAAGAAAGCACTTAATAATATCAGACCTTCTTTGCTTGACAACATGTGGTTATTTACGAGTTCATGAAATGCCTGTGACAAACAGTTTTCAATATAATTAAAAGAAAAAAAACCCCCAAATAAATCCAAATCTTAAAAGATGCGCCACTCACTTCATAGCATTTTACATCCAATTCCAGCGCTTCCTTGAAACATTTTTTTGCATTATCGAGATTTGTCTGTTGAGAATATGCGAGTCCACGAAGATAACACATAGATGCCTCGAGCTGAAGAAGACAAGCGTCTGATTTTTGAATATAAAATTTAAAATGCATGAGATTTCAATCTATAATGCTTACCTGAAGACCACCTTCGGTATTTTTGACTACAGATCCATAATCTGAATATGTTCAATCAAAAGTTATTTTTCATCTGTTAGGAACAATCAACAATTAGTTAATATTTCTATAATTGACCTTTTTTCGAAAACGGATTTTCTTCGCCAAGAACATCTATCGCTTCCTGATACTTTTCCATTTTGATCTAGTAATGCGAAATGATATAGCGAAGAAAAACACGAATAAATAAAAAATCGAAATAGAAGACCGTGAAGTGAATAATATGTAACTGAGAAAGAAATTGATAATACATTGCTTTTCATATGGTAAACATTTGTTGTTCAATTCATACTCACGCAGCACTTTGCGGCTAAATATCGACATATTACGCTCGAATCGATCAAGTTCTTTATTAGTTTCTGTGCTCTAACATATTGACCCATGTTGTAATACACCAAAGCCAACCAATACACGTCATTTGAATCGCCTAAATGAATTTCGTCGAAATTAACATCGGAAGCTTGAAAGAAAAACCGAGTTCCTTGAATTCCATACCAGTCATTGTCATCACTTTGCTTCCCCAAAATGCAGCAGTTTCATATAAATTTTTCACATAGGCGTCTTGTCTCCATAACCTCAATTTATCTTCCAACCTGAGAGTGCCTAGAACACTGGATGTACTCCCGATACTGGTGCGGGCATCACAAAAAGGAGAGCCAGCGAGTAGTGGGGACTCAAAGATGTCATTACCTATGGTTTGACTGTCCTTACTTGAGAGAAACGGAAGTTTGAAAGGAGGTGGTGGAGAGGATAACAGACTAGGTGTTACAGACGCGGTATTATTTCGAAAGAAGGATCTCGGCGTAGCAAGAGGATCCTGATTTTGAGACAAGTGTCGATTTTGATTGCGCGGCGGGCTTGCATTCGGATTTTGTATAGTAGAGTTTGCGTTTGCACTATTAGGGATGGTGACGTTATCACTTGCACTGCTGGCACTATTCCCAATGCTAATATCTGCTAGGGAATCGTTGGCATTATTGTTCGTCCTAGGAGTAGAGGTGTTGACATTGCGCGAGGAAGAAGCTTGAC